AGAAGAAGAAGAAGAAGAAGAAGAAGAAGAAGAAGAAGAACAACAACAACAACAACAACAACAACAACAACAACAACAACAACAACAACAACAACAGTAGCAGCAAAATCAATTACAATTCAGTCTGCAAATTATAACATCATTGTCAGCGCACCTACAATGGCGCCCAAGAACGTCACGTAAGGATACCGCACCTGGTCCCCGCCGTTTTCTCCGCCCGGAGTGTCTATGGTCTCATTGCCAAATCTGTCGTCATCCTTTGTCGGCAGCAAAACTGGAGTACCCTGGTTTCCGTTTTTTACCACAGGTGTCGGATCTCTGTTTGGGGGTGACCTGTCGGTGGTATTTCCGTTCGTCGAGTGGATGAACGTCCAGAAGTTCTTAAATTGCTCAACCACTGTGGCCCTGAGACAAGAGAATGGATTTTATACCTCTTTTCTTTCGTACAGCGTCATGTTCAAGAATATGCCTGTTGGTACTGCAATTCTGCAAGAGAACGGCGGAGTCTTCCGACGTTCCATTGCGGGGCCGCCATTGTATTGATTTAATTTTGTTTTGGAGCATAAATACCCCAGTTTTTTTAAGATCTTCCACCTTATTTGGACAACAGCTTGCAGGGAGATTTGGGAGGGGAGTGACCAGCCCTGTTCTCCCTGAGGATAGACCGGGGACTGGAATGTTCATGCTCCCTTTGGAGAGGCTTGTGCGGGGGTAAGAGGGGTATTTGGATGCTCTTCAGTAGAGGGGCTGGGAAGAAAAAAGGTTGGGGGGGGGGGTCCCACACTTCATAAGAGAGGTAGAGAGTGTGAAAGAAGAAGGGAAAGAAGGAGGAGGGGATGGAGGAGGGGAAGGGGAAGAGGCGGAGCAGAAGTCGGCCCCGTACTCCCCTAGAGCCCAAAATATGTTTGGAAGTGGCACCTAAAAGATAGGTGCAGCAGGGGTGGAGGGATCTTCTTATTTCTAGGTGCATTTCGCCTGCTGACCGGCTCTGCAAGGTCGGCAGTCGAGTTACTTGCCTACTTCATGACCGGCTACACTGCCATTGTACATGTCCTGGGGCCGACGTTTTGCGCTCTGTACTCTTGGATAGCGCGTTCTGGGCGCCAAGTTGGCACTCTTTACTGAGGGTTCTGTGCTGACAATCAGGGCACCAAGGACTAGCCTTACACTCCTTTTCAGGATGACTAATCATATCATTATCTTCATCATCATCCTCATCATCATCATCATCATCATCATCATCATCATCATCATCATCATCATCATC